GCTTGGTGCCAGTTTTGTTCCTGCATCTTTGCGACCAAGTTTCCCCCACCCCATAGATTCTCAACATGAGGTCACCATATTCTTAGATGTTTGCCATATGCTTAAGCTTGTTCGTAACACCCTTGCTGAGGGTGGCATTCTTGTTGATCACAACAACAACAAAATCTCATGGCAATATGTAGAGGCTCTTCACAAGCTACAGGAGTCAGAGGGTTTAAGACTTGGTAACAAACTCAAGGCATCACATATCCATTGGAGACAACAAAAAATGAAAGTAAATCTTGCGGCACAGACGTTTAGCTCTAGTGTTGCTGATGCTATTGAATATTGTGCCAATGTTCTCAAGCTGCAACAATTTCAGGGTTCCTCAGCCACTGTCAAGTTTATTCGAGTTTTTGATAGGCTTTTTGATGTGCTCAACTCCAGGAGTCCTCTTGCCAAGGGTTTCAAATCAGCTCTTAGATTCAACAACAAGGATTATTGGAACCAATTTCTTGAAGAAGCCTTTGATTACATTTGTGGTCTAAAAAATACAACAGGTAAGCATATGTATGAGACACAAAGGAAAACTGGCTTTATAGGATTTCTAGTTGCAATCAGGAGCACACAAATGTTATTCAAGACACTGGTTGAAGATGCAGCTGCACCATTAAAATACCTTCTGATGTACAAGTTCAGCCAAGATCATTTAGAGTTATTTTTTGGAGCTATTCGTTCTGCTGGAGGTTGTAACAACAATCCAACTACAGAGCAATTCACTGCAGCATATAAAAGGCTGCTAATGAGAAGTGCCATACAAGGAGGTCGTGGGAACTGTGATGAGCAGGACAAAACAAGCATACTGTATGTAGTTGGTGACACATGCACAGTATCAGGACAACAGCTTTCACTAACAAATGTGGCACTTATAAAGAAATATGATCTTACTGAAAGACCTACATTGCAAGAAGACCATGACTACAGTGACACACCAAATATGGCATTGTTGTCAGAATACAAAGAGGCTGCAATTTCATACATAGCTGGTTATGTTGTCAAGATGGTTAAGAAATTGAATGCTTGCATGACATGTTGTGATGCACTTGGTTCCATCTCTGGCAACCCACCAACTAATTTCATGAAAATGAAAGACAGGGGTGGTCTCTTTAAAGCTTCAGCCAGCACAATTTTAATATGCAATGAAACAGAGCGCCGATTCCAAAGAATGCTTGCAACAACAAAAGGGAACCTACCAGTTCAGAAAGGAATTCCAGATGCCATTGCTTTGTCTGTTCTGCAAGACCTTGATATTTCAAAAGTTTTCAGAGAACTAGACGATCACATGCTTGAATGCTCAGTTGGAGATAGCCATGTCTTTGCTTTAATTTCAGGAATCATCAAGTGTTATTGCAAGCCACCATCTGGGAAAGTCAAAAAATCAAGAAGCATCTGGGCCAAAAATTCGAAAGAAACTGAGCAAGCTTGTCTTGTTCAAGCACCAGTAGACATTTGTCTTTAACTGGTGCCCAAATTAAACGGTTTTTTTAAAAACCACCAAATCTACTAGGTTGGTTATCTGCCTATGCACACACACGGTAAGATTTGCAACAATTAAATCCCCATATTTTCCAAAGGTGAATAAGCATGTTTTGGTTTTTAGCACCCAAGTTAAAATCGCTTTAGGCCGCCTCAATCTAGTTAACATATCTAAAAGTAAACGAATAAAATCAAATTTCTCTGTTTCGCTGATTGAGTCGCCAAAGGGTTATTCACTAGAAATATCTCTAGTTTATCAGTTTGGTTAGAAAATAAACAAAACAAAACTGCTTTCTTGATAGAAACTTACCTTCGTTCATGTAAAGCGGAAGATTTCGTTCCGAAATTTATAGTAATATTTTACTAAGCCCCAAGTCATTCCACAGCTCGTTTGGGTCACACTGTCATGGCGCCGGCTGTTTTCAATGGTGCTTCACAACAAAGCGCTGGTTGCTCGATCCAGTCTTTTTTTTTAGATCAGTGGGATACATAGATGTGCCATGCGATATTGTAAATGAGACATGCGACCACAACCACCGCAAAGCAACGATAATCGGCTTAACAGGTCAAGAGATTTTCAGGCCTCAACTCAAAGTTCTGATAAAGAAATTATGGAATCCTTCGTTTACATGGCATTTTTTCCATTTTCAAGATTTCTGTTAGTTTCAATTTTGGTATCATTGTGTGCCTTGAAAGTTCAACTACTTGAATGTGAGATAATCGAAAAAAGGATGTTTTCATCCAGAAAACGTTTACCGTAACCTTAACGTCATATGGTTCATTTTGCGCAATTCAATCTGGGCTTGGTAGTAACGGCGCTATTCGCAAGCAGCATTTAAGCCTAGCGCACACTAGCGATTTTTGTCGCCAACGACGGCGATTTTTGTCGCTGGCGACTAAATATTTTCCCCTGAACACTTGCGATTTTTTCTGCCTTGGCCAATGACTTTTGGTCTCCACCTCGTAATGAGCCTCGATAAAAATGACCAGAAATTAACAATCAAATTTTTTTTAACCCATGCATGTGCCTGGAAATCCTCAAAAATTACAGGATGGGAAAATTTAGACAAAAACAATGAAAAATATTGCCAGCTTTGATTTAACCAGGCCACATCTAATGGCAAAAAATTAGGCCCAAAATTGTGGATTTAGCTTGGCCTAAATTAAGCGACTTATTTAATTTTATTCTCTTTTGTACTATAAAGAACCGAACACATGGGTTTTATGCACAATTTGTGTGTTATCTGTTTTACTGTTAGTTGCTAGTAGATAGTAAAACCTAGATCGTTCGAGATTTTTAGCTTTATAGGCAACCCACGCTGCTGAAAGGATATATTAATAGAAGTGCAGTTGTTAGTTCAATTAGAGAGAAATCTTGTTCGTGTTTATCCAAATACGTTTACAAATAATTGAGAGCAGTAGTACCCGCTCGTGGCACTAAGAGCATCAGCAAGCTCAGCCACGGCTGCAGCTTTTGCCGTCCTATCGTCGTATTGTCGAAAGGATATGGCGTACAGGCTGTATTCTCGCAAGAAAATCTGCCTTGTAATCAATGGGATGTTTTTAATGCATCCCAATTTCATATCAACCCTTTTACCGAAAGGTATTTGTTGTGGAATTAAGTTATCTCTTGTTTCTTCATGGTTTTACCCTCCTGTTAAGTTTCTCTTACATATCCTGGAGAATATTTGAAGCGAAATAACTAAAAATGAACTCTAGATCATCCCTTTTTCTTTTAAAGCCAAAAATCTCGCAGTCAAAAATCTCACAGAATTTAACCATTTGGCTGCTACATCTTTAATACACCACATCTATGAGCATAAACATTTAAATTATCATCATCGAGAACCCTAAGAAAAGCAGATTACTCTCAATTTCAGTGGCATATTTCCGTTAACTTCAAACTAGTATATGCATTTATCTTTAGAATCGACTGTGATAGCCTAAACTTCAGAGAGATTTTCAGTAATTTAATTTGATTTAAACCTATCAATTTGTCAGTGTTGGTTTCTGTAATTTGTAATAGTTATTCAGTATTTGCTGAGCGCTCTGGACTTTCCCCTGAGTCTTTCACGTTATGCTAAGCTGCTTGCACCGCTGTATCTGTTAATTTAAAAGTTAAGTTCGTTTCAAGTAACAAAAAAAGCGAAAATCCTTCTCTCGACTATGCTCTAAATTTACTCGTATTTCTGTAAAGCACTTTATCATAAAAATTATTTTTTCTCTTAATTACTAGTAAACTTTAGTGGACAATTTAGGACAATAGAAACCTGGAACCGGGTTGGTTTTTTAAAAACTTTAGCTAGCACGAGCAAAGAAGGTGACATTTAGGTTTCTACCGGAGATCCTACCAAAATGATTAGTGTGAAGCAAAACTCTGTAAGCCTCGAGACTTCAATTTTATTAACAATACAGGTTTTTAAGTTGGTGTCCACATTGTTTATTTTTACGTCTAAAAAGGGCAATGTATTCAGACGCCAACACACCACCGTCAGTCAGCA